TTATTAAGATTATATAACTAAATATCTTAGGTAACTACCCCTATAATAGGTAGGAGAAAAACACTCTTACTTATTAAGGTCACGTGACTAAATATATTAGGTAACTACCCTTATAATAGTAAAAGAAAAACTCTTTTATTTATTACGGTTATATAACTAGATATCTTAGGTAATATCAGGTGCCTACAGCAGTGGTTATAATAGGCCCCTAGTATAAACCTATAGCAGTATAGGTATGCCCAGTCTAAGACCCCTCAAGGTATAAACAAAGTAAGTCATTATATAGTAAACAGAATAGTCCCTCGAAGCAAATAAAGCAGCCCTTAAGGAAGTAAATAAAGTAGTCCTCGAGGAGTAGCGGAACGTAGCCTTAAGGAGCGGAGGAGCCTCCCCTTAAAGAGGGAGGCCAGCGATTAATCTGATTCTTTAGCTATACCCACGTTCTAACCCCGTTATAATCCTATCGTGATTATATCTAGTTCCTTACTTAACCCTACCTTCTTACTCTTTACGACTATCTATTTAATATTTTAATCGCTCTACCCTTTAAGGGCGCGAAGACCGTTAATGAGAGTCACTAAGATATCTAACTATTACGAAATAAACGATCCTACCTTTAATTTTAATAAGGCTACTAGTTAGTTTAAGCGGTAGCTCCGCGATAGTAAGACCGCCTTTATAGAAGACGCCTATAACCCTACCGACGAGAAAGATGATAGGGGTATACCGGGAACTAATATTACTCCTACCTCTACCACTATACCGGTACCTATTCCTATTCTTACCCCTATACCTACTCCTATCGCTAGCACTACCTCTACTACTACTACTACCCCTATTACCGCCCCCGTTCCTTAGACCACGGTTATAATAGGACTAGCGTATATTGCTAACCTGCTCCCATATACAAATATTAACCTAGTGTTAGGTGCCTGCAGCAGTGGTCATAATAGGTCCGTAGTATAAACCCATAGGGGTCTAGGTATGCCTAGTCCGAGACCCCTTAAGGCATAAACAAAGTAAGTTATTATATAGTAAATAGAATAGTCCCTCGAAGTAAATAAGGTAGCCCTCGAGGAAGTACATAAGCACTCCTCGAGGAGTAAAGCGTAGTCTTAAGGAGCGAGGGAGCCTCCCCCTTTTAAAGGGGAGGCTAGCGATTAATCTAACTCTTTAGCTACCCTTATACTTTTCTATCGTGATCCTATTATAATCCTACCTGGTTCTTTACTTAACCCTACCTTTTTACTTTTTACGACTACCTATTTAACATTTTAATCGCTTTACCCTTAAGGGTGCGAAGACCGTTAAGGAGAGTTACTAAGATATCTAACTATCACGAAATAAATAATCCTACTTTCGATTTTAATAAGGCCGTTAGTTAGTTTAAGCGATAGCTCCGCGATAGCGAGACCGCCTTTATAGAAGATAACCCCGTTAATAAGGAACACGATAGGAATACGCCGGGAACTAACACTACTCCTACCTCTACTACTATACCGGTACCTATTCCTGCCCCTATACCTACTCCTATCGATAGTATTACCTCTACTACTACCTCTACCCCTATCACCGTCCCTATTTCTCCTATAACTATAACAGGACCCGTATAGGATCCTAACCTGCCCCCGTGTATAGACGTTAACCTAGCTATACTAACGGATAAATAACTAGACGGACGCGTTAAATGGATAGAGGTATAGAACCACTATAAGCATAAGCTCGCTTATTCTACTAAGCTAGAAGAGGATACTACTACTATCGCTATTACCGCTACCGCCTCTATTAATCCCGCTATCGATTCCTACCGGGCCGATATTACCTACCGTTATATAGCTAAACCTTAATATCGTATTATCGTAACCCTAATAGGATCCTAGTATACCCACGATATATCCACCATATCTTCTATACACGGGTCCGCTATATAGGCTAAGTTTAATTTTCTCCTTCTAAAATAGGATAGCGTGTCCTAGGCTAAATATCGCACGTTTATCTAGGAGACTAACTAGCAGTTTAACCTGGATTCTTAATCCTTTCCTACGAACGCCGCGAAGAACTACTTTATTATATCGTGTCTCCCCTACTATCTTAAGGAACGCTAGTAGGCTAAACTACGATATAAATATAACGGGGACTCTAATACGGTTAGCTAGGTAGCCTTATAGGCCTAGCTATTCTATTCGGTTAACGATAACGATACCCGCCTATAAGAGGTGGCAGTATAGATCTAGAGCGAGTCTATTTCCTTTTAGAGAGAGGGCGAGTTCTACGCTAAGTTTATATAACGGTAGGAAGCCCTGGAGTCAGAACTGCTAGGCGAGCTCCTAGACTAGTAGAGGATTTAGACAGTACTAATAAAGGTGCTTCCGCCTATTCGGGACTATATAGTGTCTATAGGGGTTCTTAAGAACTATTAGGATTTAGCCCCGGCCTATTATAGGGCTAAGGCTTTAATTGTTAACGACGGGCTGGCCGTTACTCGAGTAGACTTCTAGTCTAATACCTAATAACGTCGTTTCCGTTCGTGTGCCCCAGGATAAGGTACCTAGACGGCCACCTACGGTTCTACCGGTATCCCTACGCCTACCTCTATATCTGCACCTATACTAGTCTCTACTCTTACTACCCTATATGCCTTAGACCGTACCTCGATACTATTACTTACTATAACTATAACTAAAAGGGGCACTACGCTACTACGTGCCCTAGCCCCCGTGCCGAGCGACGCTTAAGTAATAGTAACCCGAATACCTAACCGGTGTTTACCGCTCGCCCTACGGTCGGCTATATCACGGGCGAGGTGCCATAGGAACTATACCCGCCTCGGACTACCCCTACTACTATACTAATAGAGGTATACGTGTCCTTTCGCCGAGGTAGGGAATAGGTATAGATATCAGCTCTCCTTAATAGGGGCGCCGATATTAACGTTTTGGATCGGTCCCTCCTAGGAACTAGTTAGGTTCCTAAGGAGTCCCCGGTCTTAGTATCCTAGATTATAGAAGGATAGTTAAGATAACTCTTAGGTCCACTTATAGGATTATCGTTATAACCGATTACTAGGATCGGAAGAAAGTATAGCACGCCGAATTCTATATTATAGACCTTAATCCCTAGGGTGTAAAGATTATCTTAGGCAGGCCGTGGCTTATAGCCGTTAACCCTAATATTAATTAGCAGCGTAGCACGTAGACTTACCCCTTTATTACGGCCAGCGGCCAACGGGCCTAACATATATCAGCATAAAGGATACACTGGTATATAATATACTAGGGCGGGCAGCGTACTAGGATATAGCCAGGGAAGGATAACTCAGGAAGGATCACGTGGTAACACACGTGTGCTAACACGAGGAAGACGTTAGTATGCGTCGAAGGGTAGGCTCACGCCTCTAGGAAAAGGATCAGCACTAAGCCTAAGGGATTAGTACTAAATCCGTGGAAATACTGCAGAGTCACGGTAATCTCGTATACTACGCGGTTATCACGAGGGTGGCTAGGACTATTAATACTCGTCTATATAAACCAGAGTATTCTAGG